AAGAGGCCAGCGGGTGTTGCTCAGTGGTTGAGGTCGACCTATGAACCAGGAGGTCACGGTTGGATTCCCAGTCAGGGCACATGACGTGTTGTGGGCTCCATCCCCAGTGGGGAGGCGTGGGGGAAGCAGCCCATCTATAATTCTCTGACATCATTGATGTTTTTATCTCTCTCTCCTCCTTTCCTCTCTGAAATCAATAAAGATATATTTAAAGAAAGAAACGTCAATGATGAGAATCATCAATCGGCTGCCTCCTGCATGCCCCCTACTGGGAATTGAGCCTGCAATCTAGACATGTGCCCTGACCAGGAATCAAACTGTTAACTCCTGGTTCATAGGTAGACGCTGGACTACTGAGTCACACCCAGTGGGCTAGATGTCTTATCTTTAAGGTCAACATTACATTCCTTATTAAGTATCACTGATTAAAAGTAAAATATTCTCTTAATTAAATTAGGGCAAATGTAACATTATCAAACATCAAGGCAGTACTGTTTATAATATTGTTTTTTGTTTTCTTAAATATATTTTTATTGATTTCAGAGAGGGAGGGAGAGAAACATCAATGATGAGAGAGAATCACCAATCAGCTGCCTCCTGCACACCCAGTACTGGGCATCACGCCCACAACCCGGGCATGTGCTTTTGTCCGGAATCGAACCTGGGACTCTTCAGTCCACAGGCCAACGTTCTATCCACTGAGCCAAACCGGCTTGGGCTATAAATATTGTTATTCATCAAGCACAATTACCTGAACCAAATTTAGGGAGAGGGAAAACTAATATTAAATGAGCACAGCCTTTTATTATATACTAGAGGCCTGGTGCATGGATTCGTACACCAGTGGGGTCCCTCGGCCTGGCTGTGTCCTCTCGCAATCCGGGACCCCTCAGGGGATGTTGGAGAGCTGGTATCGTGCCGGAAGCCGGTCCACCCTTGCTGCTTGACACAGTCGCTGCAGGGAAGAAACATCTGCACAGCTTATGTTTCAAGGGACCTGGCGTATATGGCATATGTTTGCTCCCCCTCTTAGCGCTATGTGTTTTAAACAGGACCACCTCTCAGAGAAAGGTTGTTTCCCCAGGTGGGGATTTTTCCCTGGAGTTAGGGAGGGAATGAAACCCCTTAACTAAGTGCCAAGTGGGTAGTTAATCACTTTAACTATGAACAATAACGCTTAAGCTACATAATCTTTACTTAGGATAATCTCCTTCAGTCACTTCCTTGTAGCTTATCAGTAGAGCAGTAACCTGGGAATAGCCCTTATAATGGAACACAGAGATTAACCTAGACAGGATTAAACTCAACAGAACTAGATTAACAAATGCCCTAACCTTTGGAATAGAATGGATAGGATTAAAATCAACTGGTATAAATACAGATGTAACAGGACAATAAAGACAGAACCTGGCTAGAGAGAACCTCGCTATGCTGATCAACTGAACACTGCCTCCGTGTCATTCCTTCTTTGCCGACTCCGTCCACACCTTTGGGAACCCCTGGACCTGCTGGGGCTGGACCCCAACAGTATCGGCCTGATCACCGCAGGCCAGGCCAAGGGACCCCACTGGTGCACGAATCCATGCACCGGGCCTCTAGTATGCATATAAGATCTTTGGTTAATCTCTTCCTGCCCTCCTCCCTTTCCTCTGAGATTCATCAGTCTGTTCCATGTTTTCATGCCTGTGGTTTCCACTCCTGCGTTGAGCATCTGCCCCCTGGTGGTCAGTGCACGTCATAGCCACCAGCTAGTTGGTCGGCCGGTCACTTAGGATTTTATATATATACTAGAGGCCCGATGCACAAAATGTGTGCAAGGAGCTCGGCCCTTGCAGCCCCGGCTTCATCCGGAAGGTCGTCTAAAAGGTCGTTCGGCTGTCGGATCTAATTAGCATATTATGCTTTTATTATTATAGATATAGATGATTTATGTTTATTCATTAACACTTATTAAGTGCAAAATTAGTTCTAGTTCACCTTCCACTACTATCTATATATCCTTGGTTAAATTAAGCCTCTCCAATCTTGACTTCCTCATCTATAATGACAAAAAAATAGAAGTGATGTCATAACACTATATAGTCTATATGCAAGTAAAATATAACTTATTTTTCCATGCTCTCTCCTGTTTAGCTATTGCAGACAGATTAAAACATACTTCTTATGCTTGAGTTTGAGCAAATTCTTATAAACAAAAAAATGCAATACAATGTAATAAACAAATTGGAGGAAAGTACAATCACCTTTAGAAGTGATTTATCTATCCCCATTCTACAGATGAGGAAAATGGGGATGAGATGAACATTCATTTCAAATTCTATACCTTTTCCATTATACTATTCTGCTTCTGAAAATGTAGGAAATTAACACCACTCTGATTCTTAAAAGCCCCAGCTTTCTTTGGGGCTATCTAAAGTTTCCCTTCATGCTCTACTCCGGACATTCTCCAAGCTCCAGGCTTCAATAACTGCCTATCAGTGACTTGCAAATTTTATCTCTAGTCCAGATTTTTCTTCCCAGTTTTCCACCAGTATAATCTAATAGTGTAGTTGACTTCTCCATTTAGTATGCCAAATTGAACTACTAGCTCTCCCATCTCATGAACTGTTCTATTATCCACCCAGCTTTTTAAGCTTTTACCCTCCATCATATTGATATCACTGTTCTAAACTTTTATTTCATCTAACCCTCATAGTATTCCTGTGATACAGGTTCTGTCATTCTCCTAATTTTACAGTAGTAGTGTTCAAGAGAAAACCACAGGCCCAAAATGGTGTCACGCATGCTAAAAGCCCAGGCTACCAAATCTACATTTAATACCTGATCTAATTGCAGCTTAAATCTCTCCCAGTCACAGTTAAGTTTTTTGTTGTTGTTGTTAATCGTCACCTGAGCATATTTTTCCATTGATTTTTTAGGGAGAGTGGAAGGGAGGGGAGACAGAGAAATATCGACGTGAGAGATACATCGATTGGTTGCCTCCTGCATGCACCCTGGTCAGGACAGAGGATCGAGCCTGCAACGGAGGTACGTTCCCTTGACTGGAATCACACCCACAAACCTCCAGTTCTTGGGCCAACGCTCTATCCACTCAGCCAAACCCGCTAGGGCAAGCATGTCAAACTCCGCATGCAGCCCACAACGAATATTTTTGTAACCCAGCCAATATAACAGTATGTAAGAAACGTTTTAATAAAAATTTCGTAACTTAATTTTTACAATATCCTGTTATACATAATTATTAATAACAAACGTTAGCTAATGACTGATTATTATAGTCGTGTTGCATTCATTTCTCTTATGTGCCTTATGCACAGGCGCACCATTTCTCTCTGTTAATACTAACAGCAAATACTTTAGCAGCTAATTGCCACGTCATTAGTCTTGGACTGACTTGTTTGCTGTGCACAACAGGAAATATTTTGCTTTCGGAGAACAAGATAAGTAGGTTTATTTGCAGTAAGCTTATTAATTTGTGCAGTTATTCAGTGTCTGGTAAGTTAATATTCAAGAAAAAATATTTTTATTAAAATGTTCTATCATTTTATGTTGATTACTCACTTATTTCAGCCCTTTGTATTCAGCATGTCTCTATCGAAATAAACCTACGTTTCTATGAAAATTGAAGCTTTTGTTTTTTTGCGGCCCACATAAACTTAAACCTTGTTTATTTGGCCTGTGTTAGCCTTTGAGTTTGAATGCTTGCACTAGGGCTGTTTTTTTTAAATGTTTTTATTGATTTTAGAGAGGAAGGGAGAGGAAGAGAAACATTGATCGACTGCTTCCTCGACTGCTTCCTGCATACGCCCTCCTAGGGACTGAGCCTGCAACCCAGGCATATGTTCTGACCAGGAATCGAACCAGTGACCTCTTGGTGTACAGAACGACGCCCAACCAACTAAGCCATAACTGTCAGGGTGACAGTTAGGCTTTTAACATATAGGTTACAATGCCTACAAGATTCCAGACACTCTGAGCAATTCACTCCACTCACCCACTGCCAACATCTACCACAAGCCATCATTTCCCATCTAGACTACTGCAATAGGCTGGGGTCTCTCGCATCCATACCTTGCTTACTTCTATCTATTCTCCATACAGCAACAAGAATGATCTTTTAAAAATAAAGTTCTGATCCCATCTTGCTCTTAAAACCTCCTAATGACTTTCAATTCTTTCTCAGGTGGCTCTTCCACTGGCATTCAGCATTCCTGCTTTACTGGGCTTTTTCTTTAGCATGAGGCAGCTGATCGATGTTTCTAACTCTCTATCTCTCTCCCTTCCTCTCTGTAAAAAATCAATCTATCTATTCTCCATACAGCAACAAGAATGATCTTTTAAAAATAAAGTTCTGATCCCATCTTGCTCTTAAAACCTCCTAATGACTTTCAATTCTTTCTCAGGTGGCTCTTCCACTGGCATTCAGCATTCCTGCTTTACTGGGCTTTTTCTTTAGCTTCATTCTCTCCCTCCTCAGGACTTTGGAAATACTGCTCATTTTGCCTCAAAAATTTGCCCTATTTAACTCCTTCATTCTTCTCGAATCAACTAAAACATCACTCTGCAGAGAAGTCCCTTCTTGTTCCCGGTGTACCCATTAGACTGTGAGAATCATGAGAGGAGGTCCCATGTTTGTTTTTGTTCTTTGCTCCTTTCCCATTAACTAGAATTGTGCTTGGCATATAATAGCAGGGTCTCTGTAAATATATGAAAGAATAAGGAATATAGGTCAATGCAAGGAGATATCACCTCTCATTAGCTGGTGCTTAGGCCAAAGTTTAAGACTTAACATTATAACTAGGTATTTAAATGAAATAGGTTTTATCCTACTAGGAGGATCAGAGAATAAAACATTAACAATAAATTAGTTGGTATTTTATCTAACTAATGCCGAGGTTTATCTCTACACTACTGTTCACTTTCACAATTGGCAAAGAATCTTATTTCCTAAGACCTCCCTAACTTTTAATTTTTTTATACACTCAAAATATACACAAAGACAAGGGAAAACTTTTAATTATGTACAATTTTATAATGCAGATTATTAAATACAGAGAACAATGAATCCAAGATTTAGGATGTTGACTCAATACTAAAAACTGAAGCACATTATGGGCATTAGAACATAGAGAATGGGTAGTATTTCCTCAATTTGGACATCCTGTGAAGTGATATACATATCCACCTAATATAATCAATGCCCACAACTTTTATACCTAAAATCACCCTGAGTCACACTAGAAAATTAGTCTCATTCCTTTACAACCAGAACCCAATTTGACCCCTAAAATGTTTCATTGGATTTGATCCCAAATGACTTTGGATGTTTCAAAACTTGAAAAACTTCTACACAAGATGAAGAGATGTGATCACAAAGAATATTTAAAAGACTAGACTACTAATTCTAAAGGTCATTCCAAAACAGGAATTTTAATTATCTTGCACATTCTTGGAAAAAGTGTCCATACAACATTCTTTTGGATACAAAAGTGTTGTAACTTTTTTTAAATTGATTTTAGAGAGAGGAAGGAAGAGGGAGACAGAGAAACACTGCTGTGAAAGTGAAACATCCATCGATTGCTTCCTGTACACACAATTGCCTTGTGTTTGAATGGGGATCAAACCTGCAACCTGGGTATGTGCCCTGACCAGAATTGAACCCGTGACCCTTCAGTGCACTGGACGATGCTCCAATCAACTGAGCCACACCAGCCAGGGCAGTGTTGTCACTTTTAGGAAAACAACAACGTGCTCTTCAGCCAATTATCCTCAAAGGCAATAGGTACATATCACCAGCTTAGATTGCCACGCAATCACCATGCGCTGGAGCATTCTTTCCATGTCTCTCCTCTAGAGCACCTTGTGGCACAAAGATGCATAAGGTCACTGACAAGATTTAGAACAATGTGCTGTAGGCAGGTTTTGTAACTGAAGCTTGAGCAGTTTTCGAGCTGGTGAAGAATCTAATTGTTGCGTACTTCTCTTGCCTACACAGGAAAGGAGCCAAAAAATAAATTTCAATTGAATTCAAATAAGGTTTATTGCAAACTTACTGCATGGATACTGTGCCAGACTGAAGGGCATTACAATGACAAATAAGAATCTCCGTTCTCAAGGAGATGACAGCTGGTAGGAAAGCCAGCTATAACTACAACCAAAATACATTGTAATAAATAAAAAAATGAAGGTATGTATAGCAATAATTTAGGGCTAGAGTAAGTAAGGGCAGTGTCAGTGAATTTTTGAGGAATGAACAGGGGAAAAAAGGCAATGAGTATTTCTTAAATCTCAGATTTACTAAAACAAGATGGTTTGTGGGAATTTAATTCTTAGTCTACTGTGTTTCTGTGGAATTTCCCATCAACTACGAGTACCCTCAACATAATAGTTACTGTGAAAGAGGGGGAGGGGGAACAAACCACTTGATGTGGCCTTACCCTTTGAGGCCATGTGCTAAGTAAGGGCAGTTTAAACCTGAAAGGTTAACCCTCTAGTCCCCTCAAGAGATACACTTACTGAGTTGTACTGACATCTTCTGGAAGCACTGGGTACTTTCGTCCATAAAGGCATGCAACTGCTTCACTGATCCTTGCAATTCGTCCATCTGCAGATGAAAGACAGCTATGAGCTATAAGGGTCCACGGCTTCTTTGATGTTCCTCAAACACACCAGGCAAGCTCCTGCTTGGGAGCTGTGCTTTTGTTGTTCTTTCAACCTGGAATGCTTATGTCAGACATTTTCTGTTTGCTCCTCCAGATCCACACTCCACTCCTTCACACTGTTCTATGCCCCAGAAGGCTGAGCGAGATAACCTCTAGGATCCCAAGTCCTCTGAGTTCTGGGTGGGCTTGGTCCAGAGGGAGCCCAAGCAGGGGGGGAGCTGAATGAGGTCTGCATATTTTTACCCAGGCCTGCTCAGGAAAGGATCATTCCGAGTTAGCTGCGTCTCTTAACTGAAGGTCATGGCTCTCTCAAAACAGCCCACTATGTGACTTTCTCCCCTCAGGTGCCACAGTAACTCTTCCTCCTCTCCTCCCTGCAGGCCTAGGGGTAGTAAGAGCTCAGCTGCCCCACGTTCCTTCACTAACCCTTATGGTTTCCCAATATCTACACTTTATACATAGCCCCTTATAAACTCTCCTTGAATTACACTTTATCAACTACTTCCTGCTGATACTTGGAACGATAAAATACTAGTACTATTCTCTCAAATGTCCTCATGGCTCACTTCCTCATTTCTTTCCAGTCTCTGTTAAATGGCACTTTAGAGGGACTATCAACAACTGCTCTGTATAGTATCCTATTGCCCTCCTGTACACTGTCTCCCTTACTCTGCTTTAACACTAATCACCACTTAGTATTTGTTTCTTTTAATTGTCTCTCCATGTTTCGCCAAGGTAGAGTTAATATACTTACCTTATCTTATTAAACATATTCTCCAGGTCTTTTCATTTCCAAGGATGAGAATGTAGCAAAGCTGGATAACTCAACCAAATATAAACATGAGCCAACTCACCACCAATTCCATACAATCAAAGACTTTGTTCTGGCTCTGTAATATTTTCTGGTAATCAGGCTTTGTATTAAGGACTTCATTCTGGGAAGACCCAAGATATGCTGTAGGTTCAACTTCAGTCATTTTTGTTTCAGTTGATCCTCTAAAAAACAAAGGGAGCTTTTAAGGAATTTTTATAATCACTTTGGGGAAAATAATGAAAGATCACCTAGGGAAAAAGCCTCCAATAAGACTTCATTAACCTGAAGCAATATTCTTCTTATTAACAGTGGGGTCTAAAACCATTATCTGGTATTAATTTTTTTAATAAAGAAAATTTGATTTTATTAATTTTTAGAGAGAGAGGAAGGGAGATGGAGTGATAGAAATGATGAAAGAGAAACATCAACATCAATCAGCTGCCTCCTGCATGTCCCACCGCTGGGGATTGAGCCAGCAACCCAGGCATGTGCCCTGACCAGGAATTGAACCTGCGATCTCCTGGTGCATGGGTCAACACCCAACCACTAAGCCACACTGGTCAGGCCAGTATTAATTTTTTTTTGGAGGAAAAATTAAACCATATTTATTTTATTTCTAATTTAAATTCTTTACTGTTTAAAGTATTACCTATGTCTCTTTTTCCTCCCATTGACCTCTCCCCGACAGTTCCCAACCCCCAAACCTTATTTATTTTTTAAAGCCAGACCACTGGGAAAATATATCACAGTCCTGAAACAGCAAACAGACAGGCTATATTATCATTTCAAGTAATAAGTTGGTAAAAAGACAACAAAGTCCTTATCAAAATTGTAAGGTGCCAGAGCTGGCATAGGAATACTGCAAGCCCCAGGCAAAAGTGGTATTTGGTAATGGGGAGTTGCCCCTCTTTTGCTCTAATGAAGCAACAACTCACCCCTGAGTTGCTTACTTTTTCTCCTTTAACCTTCCTGTTGCCAAAAGATTATCTTAAGTAGGGCTCTGTTATTCGAGGGGGTTAAGTAAGCAATACTGGGTTTAGGTTTCTTTCCTGAAAACCAGGTTTTTCCTAAATCCAGTACTTCATAACTCTTTTTAAAAAAATATACTTTATTGATTTTTTACAGAGAGGAAGGGAGAGGGATAAAGAGCTAGAAACATCGATGAGAGAGAAACATCTATCAGCTGCCTCCTGCACACCTCCTTCTGGGGATGTGCCCACAACCAAGGTACATGCTCTTGACCGGAATCAAACCTGGGACCCTTCAGTCTGCAGGCCAACGCTCTATCCACTGAGCCTAACCAGTTAGGGCTACTTCATAACCCTTAATGAAGCAACCAACAGTTCCTCCTTCACTGTTCATTCCTGGGTATTGGTATAGGGCACAATCAAAATCCCCTTTCCCTTCAAGATAGAGAACCACTGTAAGATTGTCCTGTCACTCTGCTGCAGACAAGCTTAGGGCCCATCATGGCAGTCAGTGAGAAGGAAGGTCTGCTCCCATACCCAGTGTGACATTGCCTCTCATGTTTCTGTGGGGTCTCCAAGCTGGAAGATGTAATGTGTGAGAAGTGCACATCCACATCTTGGGCAGAAACAGATATCCAAAGAAACCTTTTGAAGTTTTTATCCAAACTACCTCCCCCAACTCCACATCTTAAATTAACTTTATGCCCTTGTATCTGCTGCAGACAAGCTTAGGGCCCATCATGGCAGTCAGTGAGAAGGAAGGTCTGCTCCCATACCCAGTGTGACATTGCCTCTCATGTTTCTGTGGGGTCTCCAAGCTGGAAGATGTAATGTGTGAGAAGTGCACATCCACATCTTGGGCAGAAACGATATCAAAGAAACCTTTTGAAGTTTTTATCCAAACTACCTCCCCCAACTCCACATCTTAAATTAACTTTATGCCCTTGTATATAAAACAAAACCAAGCAAAGCAAATACGCAGAAACCGTTTTTCCACTTCTAAATTAGTAAGCTCATGGATTTTGTTTCACAGCTTATGGGAAATGGTGTGGTAATGCTTCTGGTAAACAGGAGGTTGCAACAAACAGAAACACCTCTCCTCAGATTCTACTAGATCACTGGCAGGCTAGAGGAAACTGTCAGCCTGTTGGTACCTCAAGGGCTCTAGCTTGAGCTGAGAGAAATGCCTATTGCCAGGATAAGCATTTGCCACATCAAAAACTCTCTGACCTAAATTTGAGCACCAGTTTTTTCCATTTCACTTTCCAGGATTAAAACATAAAGAACTGGTGTCCAGAGGCAAGTGACACATGCTTTAAACTTGCTGCCATCCTTAATTTCTTCATCTATAAACTTTGCTTAAAAGACCAAAATTCTCATTCTTCATTTTAAATAGATTCCTGCCCTCAGCCTCCATGGCCAATGGCAAAGACTTCTGTATCTGAATGGATGAGAGAGACTCCTTCATCTTCTTGGTCATGGCTGGAATGAGGTTCATATGATCATCCACACACTTGGTCACACAACCCTCCAGCTGCCGCTTCACCTGACACTCTATTCCCTGCATCTACTGAATCTTTGGCTTTGTCATTGTAATGCATAGTGCACCAGGCCAGCCGGTCCTGGAACTTCTCCCAGTCGCTGGTAACCAGGGCCTGGGCTTGAGTCAAAGGTGCGTGGAAGCACTCAATGCACCGGTGCACCTGCTGCATGGACGTCCTCACAACAGCCAGCACTGCACTGGAACATGAGGCCCTGCATCTTCCAGATATTCTCTTTCCAGACTCTTCACCATGGTGTCCACTGCCTCCTGCACCTGAAGCTGCCACAGGTCCGCCTTGGCGATCCTGTGCTGCACTGCACCACGATGGCGCCCCCATGGACTCCATTAACTCTTTTACATCACTGGACTCCAGGAAATGCTAGATGCTTCATGTCAGTTAATTCCATTTAACAATAAGATCCATTTACAAAAGAACTACAGTTGGGGTAGAGTAAAGCCAAAGCTTGTTATCCTTAAGTCAATGTCTATGATCTTTCACCAAAAAAATGCTAGGTTACCTCAATTATCTAAAATAACTGAATATAATGGAGAGTTCATAAAAACTGGTGACTCTTTAATAAGAGCAACTACTACAATTTACTGAATGCCAGACATTGCTAAGCACTTTCCATTTAACCTCATTTAACACTCACAATAACCCAATGAGATAGATACTAATATTATCTCCATTTTTTTAAAGGTATTTTTTATTATTGATTTCAGAAAGGGAGAGGGAGAGGAAGATAGAAACATCAACGACAAGAAAAAATCATTGACTGGCTGCCTCCTCCACACCCCACACTGGGGGTCCAGCCTGCAACCCGGGCATGTGCCCTGACCGGAATCAAACCGTGACCTCCTGGTTCATAGGTCGAAGTTCAACCACTGAGCCATGTCAGCCGGGCTTATCTCCATTTTTAAGTGAGGAACTTCAGGCTTAGAGATTAAGTGGCTTGCCCAATATCACAAATGAAGTAGTATTAGGATTTGAACAGAAGCAGCCTGCTTCCAGAAGCATTCCTCTTAACCAATAAGTATGCCACATCAAAATTTTTTATTCCAAAACTGACATATCTTATACATTATGTCTTCATAAAGAGAACATGTCCGGGTTGAATAAAGTAACTGATAACCACCAATGCCTGCACTGGGGAAGTTTTTCAAACCGTATTCCTCAAAGGACCTCTCTACTAAGAGGCCACTTTTGCAATTAGAGTTTTAGCTACCATTTTTAAAAAATATATATTTCTTTATTGATTTCAGAGAGGAAGGGAGGAGAGAGAGAGAGAAACATCAATGTTTGAGAGAGAATCATTGATCGGCTGCCTCCCGCACGCCCCCCCACTGGGGTTCAAGCCCGCAACCCAGGCATGTGCCCTTGTGCCCTTGGCCGGAATCGAACCTGGGACCCCCCAATACGCAGGCCGACGTTCTATCCACTGAGCCAAGCCGGGCTAGCTACCATTTTGTAGTTGGGTTCTTACCTAAGATTCTGTTTGGAAAAAAAGATTAAAAATCACTAGCTTATGCCAGAACCGGTTTGGCTCAGTGGATAGAGCGCTGGCCTGCGGACTCAAGGGTCCCGGGTTCGATTCCGGTCAAGGGCATGTACCTTGGTTGCGGGCACGTCCCCACTGGGGGGCGTGCAGGAGGCAGCTGATCGATGTTTCTTTCTCACTGATGTTTCTGGCTCTCTATCCCTCTCCCTTCCTCTCTGTGAAAAATCAATAAAATATATTTAAAAAAAAAAAAATCACTAGCTTAGACGGCCAACTAAACAAAAACCTAGCACTTTGCCACTTTATTGTGCCTTTAAGACCCAGACAAAGATCCTCTCTTTCCATCACCCTCTTTCATGTCTTTGCATTTCCACAAAGGCCTTGGCTAGGGTTCTCTCCCACACCTGCAGCTCAAAGGCTATGTGCCCACTAAAGTCCCCTGACTAATGTTTTTGGCCCAGCCCAGGATTCCAGGTAAAAAGCAGAGATGTGCCTGTCTCCCACAGGATGTAGAATGGCAGCCAAAGACACAGAACACAGGCAACTCTGTTCTTTGATTGAACATAGTGATGCCAGCTCCCTTCCTTTCCTTGACTCTCCATTTAGGGTCAGAGGTGCTAATAAATATTTTACAGAGCTTTGATTAGCCTATAAGATTCGTCATTTAATTTGTGTTAATGAAACTAAAATTAATTCAAATCAAACTCCACAAAGTGAAAACATAGCTTCTGATTTCCAATCATAGATCTAACCTGGATAAGATCTCCTCAGCCTCCTTCTGATAGTGCAGCAAGAGCTGATCCCAAGTCTGACGTTCTAAGGAAAACCTATATGATCAGAAAAAAAAATTGTTAGTTTTTGATTATCTCATTCTGAATCACTGAGGGCACCAATAGTACATTAGGTGTCTACTGTGGTTCTAAGATGTGAATAAAAAGGCCATTAAAGAATTAGAAACCATGACTGTTTTAGAGGATATTAATTTAATCAAATCAAACACATGTTCTTAAAATTAAATTAACATCCTTATTCCCTAGACTCCATTCTATGAATTTGGCCATAAGCACAGCCCATAAGATCCCAATATGCAGCTAACTTCCAGTGTTGCTACACCAGTATTGACACTCAGAACAGGATGTTTATTATTCATTTTCCCAGGTTTAATTATTTTCCCCAACTGAACTTAGATTTTTCAACAAAGGTTCATTCATTTTCACTTACTTTGTTATGTATTCCTTCATCTCAGCCACTGATGCTTCCAGAGACAAATCTGATGCTTTTCTGGAATACAGATAGCCTTGTGAGATAAACACAAATTTTTCAAGAACACTTGCTTTTAATATGATAACTTACGTAATTTCAAAGGCAATAAAACATGTTCAGAATTTATCTTTTGCCCTGACCAATGTGGCTTAATTGGTTGAGCATCGTCCTGTGCACCAAAAGGTCGCAGGTTCGATTCCCGGTCAGGACACGTGCCCAAATTGCAGGTTCAGTCCCCGGTTGGGGTGTGTACGCGAGGCAACCAACCTATGTTTCTATGTTTCTCTTTCACATCAATGTTTCTCTTTCCCTCCCCCCCCCCCCTCCGCTTTCTCTTTCTCTAAAAAAGAAAAAAAAAGTAAAAAAATTTATCTTTCGCCTGGCTGGTATGGATCAGTGGTTGAGTGTCAACCTATGAACCAGGAGGTTAAGGTTCAACACCTGGTCAGGGCACAGTCAAAACCCCCTTTCCCTTCAAGATAGAGAACCACTGTAAGATGGTTACCACAACACCGGATTGCAGGCTCAATCCCCAGTAGGGGGCATGCAGGAGGCAGCCAATCAATGATTTTCTCTCATCACTGACGTTTCTATCCCTCTCCCCCTCTCTCTGAAATCAATATAAAAATAATTTTTTTTTAAGTTCAAACCCTAAAAAATAAAATAAAAATGTTACATTAAAAAAAAGAATTTATCTTTCAACAAATATTTATTTCTTAGCCTCTCACTTTTATACTAGATCTCTTCATCTTTTCTCTCTCTCTCATCAATTCCAATTCACACATGGCCAGATGAACCTTTCTTAAAATATTCCTTTAATTTCTTCCTTGCTTAAAAACTCTGTGACCCTCTACTGCATTCAGAAGAGAAGTAAAACCTCCTTAATCTGGCACTTAAGGATCTCTGTTCTCGCTCCATCCAGTTCATTAACTTTGATTCCTACTGTTCTCTTTTATCTATTCTGTCCAATATAATCTCACTCACCCTGACCCTGAATATCCGGGGTTTTCAATCTCTCAACTCCTGTTCACATCAGTTTTTAGTGTCTTCCCCTTCCACCAATCAAAACCTTAACATCTTTTAAGGCCCAACAATACTTTTTCATATGACTGTCTTGTCTTCCTCCTTAAACTGAAGCTATCGCTGTACAGGGGACTTACACTAAGGGCTCAGCACAGCTGAGTGACTAATTCTAATGGAAAAGAAGCACTGAAAATGCCAAAATTTTGCAGATGTACTAGTACTTGGTACTCTACCTGACAAAAACAAATGAATTGTTCTACCTTTCATGTTTTTCTACCAAGGCCTATGACACACAGCCTCTATCAATGCTGGCTTATGGCTTAAATACACTGCATTAAAAGAGACACTATGTTAAGCAAAATTTTGTTTATTTTTTTTCACTCAAAAAGCCTTTATGTTTTTATTTAGCTTCCTGATTCTATGCTTGTGCCTTCAACACTTTCACAACAATTTTCAGCTCCTCAATAAGGAAAGCACACTTGATCCTGGCGCAGGCAGATCTAGCACACACGGATCCACCATAAGCCCTGCTGACATGTTTTTTCATTTTAGACAACCTCATTAGAACTTTAGGTCTCATAGCACGAGTTCCACAAAGTTGCCTGGGCTCACACCACGTGCAGATTTTGGTGCTTTTCCAACCTTCTTGGTATAAAGGTAAACAATGTCTCAGGGTTTGGGACAGCCTAGTTTTGTTAGAGGCTGTATTGTAGAACCATCTCTGGTGGTATGTCAAAAGTTGGACCATTCTAAATGCCCAAAGACTCTGTCCTCAGAAGAATGAGTCAAAATATTTTTCATTACCCGAATACCAATGTTAAGTTAAGGATAGGTGGAAAAGTAGACCTTTGCAAAGTCAAAACTAAAAAGTTTATGATGTAACCTCTAGTGACATGATTTACTGCAGGGCAGGGCTCCACCCATATAGAGGAACTACAAGTTTAGGGTTGGGATTTCTAAATTCTCTTAATATTCTTGCTTGTAAACAGCTAAAGAACATAAGTTTACAGGGAAACCTCAGTTCTCCAACTTAATTTGTTCTGAAAGGTTGTTCAAGAAGTGATTTAGTCAAAAACCAAAAATTTTTCCCATCCTGAGGTGGAGGGTGGGGGTGGGCTAGAAGGGGTCAATGGGGAAAAAACGAGGACATCTGTAATACTTTCAACAATAAAGATTTAAAAAATTGTTTTTAATGATTCCCTATTTTAACCTTTTTTATATACAGTACTTGTCTAATGTACTCTTTTTGTTTGTTTTAAGCCTCACCTGAGGATATTTTTCCACTGATTTTTAGAGATACAAAAGGGAAGGGAGGGAGAGAGACACAGAGAGAAAAAGAAACATCACTGTGAGAGAGACACATGGATTGGCTGCCTCCCGAATGTGCCCTGAAGTATGTGCCCTTGACCGGAATCAACCTGGGACCCTTTGGTCCGCAGGCCCAAACAACTTGTTAAAGAACCAAATTGTTTGAGATGGGAGACATTAGGAACTGAGGTTTGGCTGTTGCATGGCTAGCAAAAATTTGAAGAATGCTTTTCCTTTCATCTGTCTCAATCCAAAGGTAAATTCAGTAGAGGTCTAGCTAACCCACCCCCTCAAGTCACTATTATTGACTTCTTAGATCACTATTTTATTTATTTATTTATTTATTTATTTTTTATTTTTTTTTTTTTATATATTTTATTGATTTTTTACAGAGAGGAAGGGAGAGGGATAGAAAGCCAGAAACATCGATGAGACAGAAACATCGATCAGCTGCCTCCTGCACACCCCGTACTGAGGATGTGCCCGCAACCAAGGTACATGACCCTGACCGGAATCGAACCCGGGACCCTTGAGTCCGCAGGCCGACGCCCTATCCACTGAGCCAAACCTGCCAGGGCTTAGATCACTATTTTAAAGCATTATATTTGTTTGACTGTATCTCCTATTAAAATATATCAGAACAAAATACCTTGTTTGACTTAGTTATCACTATTATCTCCAGCATCTAGAAGAGCCTGGTATGTAGAAGATGCTGAATAAATGTTTGATGAGTGAATGAACAACTGTCTAATTATAATAAAAAGCCTTAATTCAATTATAATTTAGGACAGAAGGGCAACTGAACTTACCCTTTTGTATCTTCAAAACATTTCTGTAGAGTTCCATTACTTTCCAGTCTGTCTGCAAAATGTTTTAATTCTTCAGAAAGAGAAGATGCTAGAGAGAATAAAATTACATGTTATAAACAGAATATAAATTTTCACAGGAAGCTGCTGACAAAGACCTAATACACTTAAGGTAGTCTCAGCTCTAGGGTCCCGTCACATTCTAACACTCTCACCTATTCAAAAAAGTGGTATAAATATGCAGAAAGATTTAATCTTTTTTGGGGGTAGATATAGATAAAATGTAATACAATTCCTCTTTATGACATTTATTGATAGTGTTTTTTAGATCTGACTGGTGAAGAAGCAGTTAAAAAGACATATCTGCACTGACATTTCATTCTTTTCAAGAGATTTGAACTGCTGGTGCTGAAAGGAAATATATCACAGAAGACAGGCAACAGGAAAGAGTGTTATAAAAAATGTTGAAGGCAAATAAAGCATTATAAGCATAAGGTAAAAACAGTTCTCTGCTTATACCTGAAGAGTCCACAATTACATTCAGGCGAAGAATAAGGAAGGAAAAGGATGTTAAATAGCTATCAAGATAACCTTGACATATCTATTCTAATTATGGTGATGGTCCAATTCTGAGATAATTTTAATTAACAAGTAAGTCTGAGTTCATGTATTTTCTTGGTTTTTAAAGTGGATAACTGAGTATTTTGACTCTGGATGATTGTGTAGTTACTGTAAGGAAAACAGCTACTTCCTAGATAGCTGAAAACTGATTCCTGGGAAAGAATATTTCTAATTTATATCATAGATGAACAGCTAATTTCCTTAAAATATAGAGTTTCTACAAATCAATATAAGCACTACATGTCAATTTTCAAAAATGAACGAAGGACATAAACAGAAAATGAAGCACATATAGTTCTAAATAATATTTAAAAATGTTTATCCTCTTTGAAAAACAGATTAAAACTACAAAATACCTTTTATCATCTGTAAAATATCTGAACTGTTTGATAAAACTGTATTGGTAAATGTGAAAAAACAGGTATGCAAACAAATATATCTGCATATATTGTTGGTGAGAGAATAAAATGAAACAACCTTTCTGGAAGACAATCTGGTAATTTTCATCATTTTGTTTAACCTTTTTTTAAAAAAAATATATATTTTATTGATTTTTTACAGAGAGGAAGGGAGAGGGATAGAGAGTTAGAAACATCGATGAGAGAGAAACATCGATCAGCTGACTCCTGCACATCCCCTACTAGGGATGTGCCTGCAACCTAGGTACATGCCCTTGACCGGAATCGAACCCGGGACCCTTCAGTCCGCAGGCCGACGCTCTATCCACTGAGCCAAACCGGTTAGGGCTGTTTGACCTATTTTATTGCAACTCTAGAAATTTATTTTTACTTGTATATGTGCCAAAAGGCATGTGTAAAAAGGTATTTTCCCTGGCTGGTGTGGCTCAGTTGGTTGGAGCATTGTCCTGTACACCAAAAGGTCATGGGTTCGATTCCCGGTCAGGGTACATGCCCAGATTGCGGGTTCAATCCCTGGTCACGGTACATATGAGGTAGCCAACTGAAGTTTCTCTCTCCCTAAAATCAATTTAAAAACATATCCTCAGTGGGATTAGAGAAAACAAAAAAGTATCCATTACCCTATTCATTGTAATAGCAAAAGACTGAAAACCCTAAAAGCCCACAATAAGAAACTGGTTAAAAAAAATATGGTACATTTATAAAATTGAATATCATGTGGCTACTAGAGTGTCAAGACAGTCCTACATGTGCAGTATGGAATAATCTGCAATATAAACTGTTAGGTTAAAAAAAAACAAAAGACAAGGAAAAGAACAGTGCAGAGAGTATTATTTGATTTTAATGTATAATTGTTTGCAAATGCAGTATCTCTGCAATGATACACAAGAAGCTGGAAGCTGTGGTTGCCTCTGTGGAGAGGAGCTGCGACTATGGTTTGGAGTGGAGGGCAGGCTTACTTTGCACTTTTATACCTACTGAACTTCATTAGCATATATTATTATTATTTTCTTAACCCTCACCTGAGGATATGTTTTTATTGATTTTCGAGAGAGAGGAAGGGAGAAACATCAATCGATTGCTTCCAATGTGCGCCCCAACTGGGAATCGAACCTGCTACCTTTTGGTGTACGGGACGATGCTCCAACCAACTGAGCCACCCTACTAAGGCAGCATATATATATATATATATATATATATATATATATATATATATACATATACATTTTTTTAAAATATATTTTATTGATTTTTTTTACAGAGAGGAAGGGAGAGGGATAGAGAGTTAGAAACATCGATGAGAGAGAAACATCGATCAGCTGCCTCCTGCACACCCCCTACTGGGGATGTGCCTGCAACCAAGGTACATGCCCTTGACTGGAATCGAACCCGGGACCCTTCAGTCCGCAGGCCGACGCTCTATCCACTGAGCCAAACCGGTCAGGGCAGCATATATATATTTTAATGCCATTCCAAGGGGGGTTGGTTTTGTAAGGTAGCAGCTCCTGTGAATGGGGTTCAAAAGTGGGGCTTTAACTGACTTTAACAGAAGGTACAGTTCAAGGTCAAAGCTCACTTGCCTGTTCTTAGCAACTTACCTTTGGCTCTAAAACTTTCAAGACTGAAGCCCTCAGTGCCTTTTAGGAAAGGTTCAAGTTTCTGAACAGAGAACTAAATAAAGAAAAGCATTTTTAATACAACAATCAAGATTTTCCAGGCCAGTCCCAACAAAGCTCATGTAATTTTACATGCTTAATAAATGTGAAATAAACATGATTTAATTTTCATACCTAAGATTTTTCATATAACAAATAAATAGATCAGGATAAAACTATGTTGGTAAGACTATACATTTTGATTTTTGGTTTGAGAAAAAAATGGTCATTTAATTCACACAAATGACTTGCTTATCTAAACTAATCATCAATTAGCCATATAATACTGACTTAGTATGTAGTCAGACCTCCAATGTCTGTTTGAACTTAGATTTTGACCTACTCCTACTTTAAATTACCATATTCCCTGTCATTTGCTGCCAATGGCAAGAGATATTAGATTGGGGAAATCTCTCACCCTTAGCTGCTCAGTTAGCAGCAACAGTACCAATGGGATAGAGAGCCTAGTCCAGACAAAATCAGTTGCTAGGATTATATCTGGCTTTTAAATTAATCCAAACTAGAGAGAAACATCTTTTAATTTTAACAGATGTATTACACAGTTTTGATCTCTTTTTGGGACTCTCACAGTAACAGCTTAAAAAAAAGCATTTCCCATTCCCGAGAATCTCACCTGGAAACTGGAAAGCAGGAGAGCGCCAAGCCGTTTGCTTTCTGCTAGGTCGACGCTGATGGATCTGCTGAGCTCTAACATAAAATATCAATTTAAGGAGTGCTATACTCACAATTATCAAAATAAAAAACCTGAAAAATTTCCTCTCTCTTGATGCAGTCCATTTTAAGGCAAGAATGCTCAAGCAGCCTTCTTTAATTAAGGGAGAATTCATATATAGTCACATCTGATTTTTTTCAGGATCACCAAGGAATGGAATTTACCCATTTGTGCATTCTAGCTTCAAAAAGTTATAAGAACCTTCTATGTATTACATTAAAACCTTGTCTTATTAAACAAGATAGGTAAATAACTTTTTTTGATGTTTTATATTCACCATTCAAAGGAGACGGAAACATTTGAGCATTTTTATGACAGGTCCTGCAGTATGCTTTAAATACATTGTCTTAAGAGTCCTCTTATAAACTATGAGCTCCATTTTACAGATGGGGAAACTGAACCTCAGAGGGGAGATGACTTATTTGAGGCCAGAAATTGGTGAAATAAGAATTCAATCCCAAGTCTGTCACCAAAACCTGTTTTTCCAAATAATACCATGCTGTCTTCTACAATGAATTGATAACATTAATAGTAATTTGTTGAACACTTGTTATGTAAAAGGCTTTTTATTAAACACTACACACACTTCATTAAAACTTGAGGCAAATATTTTATCAATTCCATTTTACAGATGATGACACTGAGGCACAAAGACTAGGTAATAGGTAACTTGCCAAGGTCACATGGGGAGACAGCCCGAATTGGATGGGCATTTTACATAATTATGTCACTGAATCTTCAAACAAGTACAGGATGCAGACACTGTTTTTTCAATTATGCTCATTTAAAAACATCAGTTATTATACAGCAAAGGAAGTTTGCTTTGAGAATTTGAGAAATACATGTCTTTTCATCCTCTACCTTTAGCTGGTTGTATTTTTAAAGTTCTTTTGTCTCCTTTTTTGATAACTTTTCACTGCTGTTAGTTTAAAAAAAAAAACCCACACAGAATACCTTCTGCTTATAACCAAAGAAATCTGGCAAGTGGCCAGGAATAACAAGGAAATAATCTTATTACATCAGTGATTTTCTGTGATACAGAATTTTAGGTCCACATGCTCTGGAACAGAGATAAAGGTTGGGGTGACCTTAGGGAACTGCTGATGCTTACTTGGCACACCTATGAAATACATGAGCATAACTGGGGCAGCAATTTTCTGATATGCTAAGTGGCTGTTTTTATCCTGTTTTCCTGTTAGACATAGGCCATCTGGAAGTGAGATAATATCTTTAAAATAACCACAATAGCTTAACATTTGAGCTATTTACCATGTGCCAAGTATTGTGTTATAATCAATTCATTTTTTTCCTCATATAATTTTATAAAATAGATATTTCATCCCATTTACTGATGAGGAACATAAGACAAAGGAGGTTTAAGTAAGCCGCTTAAGGTCACAGTTTTTCCTGAAATGTGCTAGAGACTTTCCATGTTAAATCTTGTACTTCGAGAAACTGAGGCTCAGAGAGGTGATGTGATTTACTCGCCACATAGCTGATAAGTAGCAAAGTCAAGTCTGTCCCACTACACTCTTTCTGCCAAGTCAAGTCTGTCCCATTACGCTCTTTCTACCATACCTCACTGCCACATCTTATCTGAGCTGCAACTCCACTGTCTTATGTGTGCAGCACCCCACCTGTGATGCCCTGATGAAAGGGAGGCAGTGACTTCCGCCTGTTGATTTCTTTCATACTTGCTCGCCGCCAGGACTGCCTTCTGTCTCGATGATGGGCAGACTGTTCTTGGGGAGACAAATGAAGGGACCTGGGCTGAAGTCCTTCCTCGTGGCTGAGATCACAACACTCCCCTTTTTTAGGGCTACAGCCAACGTGACTTCTTTCCTTTGAAACTCCTTGAGTCATCTCCAGGGAGGCAGACGATTTAGTACACACTTCCACAGGATTGGGATTTGATTCCATTTGATGATCATGAGTCTTAGATGTCACTGGTTCCTCTTCTAGCACTTGTTATAAAAAAAAGTCAAAATATAAAATCAAACCCACAACTGAGTATTTGTGCAAAAAAGTGGAAATGGAAAATGTATGCCCCAGATCATGGAGACACTGAGGAAGTACCTGTGCAAATACATGAATATGTGATTCCAGCTCCACCAAGAGCCAGGACATTTGAGGACAGTGAAGAAACCTGAACTCAGGTAAAAGGTACAAAACTCACCTTCTACAGTCTCTGATCTAGTCACCGAAGTCATCCTGGGTTGAGAACCCTAAAATAGGAAAATGAGGTGATCTGTTCTCCACATTTCAGCCCCAGCCTCACTGGGGTTTTACTACACAGGAATAGGCCTTGTGCTTTCCAGCCTCTGAATTGCCCATCTCTTTCCTATAAAATTTACCTGTCTGGCAAGGCCTAGCCCAATGCCACCTCATCCACCACGTCGTCCACAGAGACCATCAGCAGGGTTCCTCATCTACTATTCTGCATTTCTATAGAACTTATCACTAGAAATACTCATATCTCCCTTAACACATACCTCTTTTATTTCCCAATTATCTTGTGTTTAACTGGTCCCTAATTTCCTAACTCAGTTGATGGCATTATGACCTACATGGTCTTCCAAACTAGAAAAATCACATTATCCTTTACTTTTTACTCTTAAAATGTCCAGATCTAGAATTCCATCCATTCTACCTCTAACAGCCTCTCTACTTCTTTTTTTAATTAAATTTATTACAATAACATTGGTTAATGACACTATATAAACTTCAGATGTACAACTTCATAATCCAACATCTGTATACTCCATTGTGTGCTCATTATCAGAAGTCGTCTCCTTCTGTCACTATTTATTGTACTATTTTTTTTAACAACCTTAAACCTACTTTTGCCCCACCCTTTATATTTGACCCCCCTTTACCCTTTGTCTTCTCCCCACCTCCCTTCTCCTCTGGTAACCACCACTCTTTTGTCTGCAACTATGAGTTTGTCTCTAAACCTTTTCTCCACTTCCACATCCTAGTTTAGTTCAGGTCTCATAATCTCCACCACCTCCCACCCTATCCACCCAATAATCCTGTCCACTAGTTTTCCTATATCCAGCCCTGCTCCTCTCCTAGCCATTCGTTAGACAGCAGCAGCAGCGGTTTTTCCAATTTTTCATAGTCTCAACCTACCCATTTCTCCTCCCCTGCTACGCCCATATCCTGCCACCACGTTTGAATATTGGCATATACAGCCTGTAAAACTTAATCATCCTTCCCAACCTAGCTCAAAAGTGAGCTTTCACACCACTTCTCTTTCCTAGCAAGGGGCTGTTTACATGTCCGTCGCCCCAGACACACTGTATTTGTATTCCTAGTGCATGTCAGCAAGGACTGACCGGAAGACAGCAGGGACCAGGCTGAGGCATCTCTACATTTGCCACGCTTACCCCTCACTCCCAGCAGAAATCTGTACGGGGGAAGGTGGGGCGGGTAGGGTAGTGCTAAGTAAAGAGAAATGAATATATCTGGAGGGACGACATAGAAAAGAGAAACAAGAACAGATATAGGCCGTAGATCTAAACCCCCGCAGTTACAACAACCACAGATTCAGGCCTGGAAATAACAGCAACAACTGTCACTGGTGAAGCTGCTTGTTAAGCACTTATGACATGCCAGGACCTGTTATATGTGACCGCTTTATTTCCAACATTACCTCTTTACCCCATTTAATCCTTCCCACAGCTCCGTAAGTACTGTCGTTCACCCCTCCTTGCTGATAGAGGAACTGAGGTTCAGAGGCAAAAGCCTGTCTGGGGACAGAGGCGGAATTCTGTGACCCACCCCAACCCTAGACCGCGGGCTCTGCACAGGCCAAGGGAGAGGCGCGATCATCCTCGGGTTTCCTCTCGCCCAGGAGGCCGCAGCGCCTCGGGGCACCCCTAGTGTCCGCTGTCGCGGGGCGGCGACCGGCCTGGACTGGGCCGAGGTCCGACGCCAAAAAGGCGGGGGCGAGAGTGAGTGGGGCCGCGTCCGGGGAAAGGTATGCGACTTCCTGACCTCAGAGCGACGCCCGTTCAGTCCGAAGCCTCCGTTCTTAATACAAGACCGCAGGTCACTCTCCGCGGCCACGAGTCAACCCTGGAGCCCCTGCACCTCTTATTTCTGGTCTGAGTCCGGTACGCCTTCCACGGACCACGCCCCGCGCCACTGCCGCCGCCGCCGCTACCGAAATCTCCCGCCAACTAAGGGCGCATGCGCGGCCGGCGGCCGGCGGCCCGGGCCTGCGCATGCGCACGCAGAGCGCCCGCCTCCTTCAAGGCGCATGCGCAAACTGGTATTTAACTTTGGTCGAGCCCTGCAGCCGCTGCCGCGTCCAAATCTTTCTCCGCCCCGAAGCGGCCACGTTAACGTCTCCGCAGCTGTGCCACGTCCGGAGAGGCCCCTCCAGGGACCTGCCGCACCGTCCTGACCTTTTGCACCCCGCGGCCCAGAACCCATCTAAGATGGGGAAACTGGAGCCTAGGTACTGGCCAAAGAAATACCTCAGCATCTGAAGGTCTGCCCCTGTGGCCAGGCTAGTGGTCCTCCTCCCCATTGATTCTTCTTCATCATCTTTTTAAAATTATTGACACTCTTACAGATGTCCCACATTCCTCCACCACGCCCCACGCCCCACGCCCCACGCCCCACGCCCCACCCCGGCTTTGCCCACCTCCACCCTGCCACCACGCCCGCCTCCTGGCCATCGCCGCACTACTGCCGGTCCAGGGGCTATGCATAGACTGTATGTTCTGGCTAATCTGTTCCCCTTCTTTCGTTCAGCTCCCTCCGCCCCCTCCCCTCTGACAGCTGTCAGTTTGTTCCATGTATCCATGCCTCTGGTTCTATTTTGTTCGTTGGGTTACTTTGTTCATTAGATTCTACATATTAGTGACATAATGTATTTATCTTTCTCTGACTGGCTTATTTCATCTAGTATAATAATCTCCAGGTCCACCCATGCTATTTGCATAGGGTACGAGTTCCTTCTTCTTTACAGCTGTGTAGTATTCATTGTGTAAATAAATGTACCACATCATTTTTATCCACTCAAATACTGATGGGCACTTGGGTTGTTTCCGATCATAACTGTTGTAAATAACTCTGCTATGAGCTATAGCTTAAGCTATATTCCCAGAAGAGGGATCGCTGGGTCAAAAGGCAGCTCCATTTTTAATTTTTTAAGGAAACTTCATACTGTCTTCTACAGTGGCTGCACCAGTCTGCATTCCTACCAACAGTGCACTAGGGTTCCCCTTCTCCACATCCTCACCAGCACTTGTGGTTTGTTGATTTATTGATGGTAGCCATTCTGACAGATATGAGATTATATTTTATTGTAGTTTTAATTTGCATCTCTCTGATGATTAGTGATGTTGAGCATTTTTTTCATGTCTCTTGGCCATCTGTATGTCCTCTTTGGAACGTGTTTATTCAGATCCTTTGCCCATTAAAATGTGGACCGTGTCTCCCAGGGCAAACTGGAGCTACGTACTGTTTGCTTCATCCTATTCGACTATTCCTGCTTTAGCACTTTTTCTCCTCTGTGGCCCTTTCAATAGTATATGGCAAAGTTCAAGAACTCTCTTTTGCAGTCTCATTGCAGGACACCATCTCCCCAACTGCCTGATGCTCCTCTGTCCACTCCCATAGCTTAAAAAAATTTTTTTTTCTAATTTGTTGATTTTAGAGAGAGAGAGGAAGAAAGAGAGAGAGGAACATCGATTTGTTGTTCCACTTATTTATATATTCATTGGTCAATTCTTGCATGTGCCCCGACCAGGGATTGAACCCATAACCTTGGGGGTATCCAGACGATGTTCTAACCGAGCTACCCCACCAGGGCTCCCATAGCTTCTTGCCTCTGCTCCTTTGATTGCCATTCCTTCTACCTGGGAAGACTTTCCCTACTTTTTCCTGGAAAATTTCTCTAATTTTAACTCTAAGCTGAGGATTCATCTCTCAGAGCCTTCTCTAAGGTCCTAGGCTGAGAACCAGATGTCCTTTCTGTACTCCCAAGAGCCCAGCCTGTGCCTTTTTCACTATCCCTGTTGGCCCCAAAGAGCAGGCTGCTTCTCAGTACCCGGTATGACGCCATGAAAAATGTCCCCCTGCATGTGTGGTCCTTTCAGATCTGCAACCTCCAATTGTTGAATTATGAGCAGTCCACAAAGTCTGAACGAGAGGTTAGGGAATGGCAGCTGGAGCATGACTGGTCATCCTTCCATAGCAGCTGTGGTCCTTGGAATTTTTTTCTGATGGGAGGCAGAATCCTGCCTTCCTGAAGTTTCTACCATGTGTTTTCAGCCTGCTGGCTCCAATACTGGCCAAAGAAATACCTGAGCATCTGAAGCTCTGGCCCTGATAGCCATCTGCCATCCAATAGCCATCTGAAAGCAAAGATTTGTCCTGGATGGTGGGACTCAGTGGTTGAGTGTTGACCTATGAAACAGGAGGTCAGGTTCGATTCCCAGTCGGGGCACATGCCTGGGTTGTGGGCTCCATCCTTAGTGTGGAGTGTGCAGGAGGCAGCCGATCAATGATTTTCTCTCATTGATGTTTCTATCTCTCTCTCCCGCTCCTTTCCTCTCTGAAATCAATAAAAATATGTTTTAAAAAAAATAAAAGCAGGGATTTGCTCTTGGTTCCCTGAATATCACTTTCTGGGAGTCAATGGTACCCAGATTCTTCTGTGTCCATCTACTCTTCCAACTCCTCATTTGTCAACATCCCAAGAACAGAACACAGTGTTCTTTTTCTTTTAAATATATGTTTATTGATTTCAGAGAGGAAGGGAGAAGGAGAGATAGAAACATCAAGGATGGGAGAGAATCATTGTTGGCTGCCTCCTGCATATCCCCCACTGGGGATTGAACTCCCAATCTGGGCATGTGCCCTTGACTGGAATCGAACCCAGGACCCTTCAGTCCGCAGCTGACGCTCTTATCCACTGAACCAAACTAGCTAGGGCCAAGACACTGTTCTGATTCAGGGCTGGTCATCCTGGAGCACAGTGAGAATATAGCTTAATGGAATCCAGATCCAATACTTCCTCTGTCTCCTTTCCCTGCTCTCAATTCGTCTACAGCTCCCTAATGTCTATAGAATGTGGACATTTGTCCCCTCACAAGGCACTGTGTGATCTGACTCAGCCTCTTCTTTTATCGTTACCCATTCCAGTGACATAAAACTTCTTACAGTTCCCCAGTTCTGCTCTGCTCTTTCTACTTTCACACGTGCTGTTCCCTCTCCCTGGAACCATCTCCCCTCAGTCTCTTGCCTACAACATACCACCATCCTCTTCATGTGGCCCTGTCCTCTGTGAAGCCTTTCCTGATTCCTCTAGGCTCCCTGAGTGCCCTGTGATTGACATCTGCTTTCCTGTCTTCTAGGCCCATCTCTTGCATTCTCAATGCTTAGCATAGGCTGTTGTTAGATCCTCAAAACAGAGACCTGTAGAATTTTTGTGGTCAGCTTCCAAGATGGCCCTCAATGGTCCCTGCTTCCTCGTGTTCATGCCTAGTGTAGTCCTCTCCCACACTCCATAGGGCTGATCTGTTTAACCAATAAAACATTGCAGAAATGATAATGTGATTTTCAAGGTTTAGTCATAAAAGACATTGTGATTGCTACCCTGCTCTCTCATAGATCACTCACTCGGGGAAGCTAGCCACCATATTGTGAGGATACTCAAGCAGCCTCATGGAGAGGTCCATGTGGGAAGGAACTGAGACCTCCTGCCAACAGCAAACACTGACTTGCCAGGCATATGAGCCACCTTACAAATGGATTTTCCAGCCCCCGTCAAGCCTTCACATGACTGCAGCCTGATTGACATGAGACCCTGAGTCACAATTACCCAGCTCCAGAATTCCTAACTCACAGCATCTGAGATATAATAAATGCTTTGGAATAATTAATTCTACTCTAATAGATAATTAGCGCATGTCTAAAGTGTCCTTCTTTTCCCATGATAATTTTTTTAAGTCTTTTGTAGAAAAGTTCGGTTCCATTTTTGAGCACTCTGCATGTTCAGTGGTCATACCACATTTCATGGGAGACTCTGAGATGTCAGCAGTCAGCAGCAGGGAACACCTGGTGGCCCCTCCCCAGTGGCCCCAAACCAGCCAGCTGGCTGTGGCATACCAGCCAGCTGGCTGTGGCATTCTCAGGGATCCCTACTTTCCAGACAACGAGGGGCAGGCTACAGTCAGGTTTCAAATCTGCTGGGAGCTCCACCCATCCCACAAGAAAAATCAGGAGGAAAGTCCATGGAAACTGTTCATATGACATACTTTATTTCCAATCTACAACCATTAAAAACCCTTTGTAAGTTTACACTGTACAGTTATTCTCATGTCTGAAATAAGACATAGGGGCAGGGAGAGCTGGTGGATTGGACCACAGTCATCCTAGCACCCAATCCATCCTGGGAAGGAGCCTTTAAAGATAGGAGTGAGCAGAAGAGGACAGTGGACAGGAGAGGCAGACAGTTTGGCCCAAGGATGCCCTTGGTTTCTTCCCTCCTGAAGACCTTTCCCTGGGCCCTCGACTGCAGGACCCTCACCAGGAAACCAGGCTGGGCAGGAAGGGGCTTCACAGTATTGGCAGGAGTTGGGAGGGGCAGGATGGAAAGGAAGGACAGCTTCTGGCTCTCTTCCCGTCACTGGGGGTTGGAGCTGCTTTTTGGCACAATCTGCAAGATCTCCTTGGAGGTGGGAGGAGGAGGAGCTGGGGATGTAGGATTTTTCTCTTGAGTTAGGTTTCTTTCCATTTGAAGAGAGGCCATGAGCCTATGAAGTTCCCAAGGGATAAATGGGCAGGGTCTTTTTCTCCTGTCCCAGGACTGCCAACCCCTGCGTGGCTTGTACAACCTACATAACCTTTTGTAAAACCCAGACAAGTGGGAGAGGTGAGCAAAGCTGGAACCAAGCCAGGGGCAGGAAAAGGAAAAATGTGTGCCTTCTCCCTGTCCTCCAGCTCCCAAGGAGGACATGGGTTTTGTTGGGGTGGGGGTGGGGGGCAGGTAAGGAGAGTTCCCAGTCTTTCAGGAGTCTAGAGTTGGTATTTCCCACCTGTTCCTGGTCTGGGCCAGCCTCAGTCCCTCACCAGGCTGCACTAATTGCTAGCATAGGTCAGCAGTAGGCAAACTCCTGTTTTATCAGAATTATCCAGAGGGCTTGTTAAACCCCAGCTTGCTGGGCCCCAGCCCAGAAGTTCGAATTCAGTAGGTCTCGGATGGTGCCAATACTTTGCATTTCTATCAAGTTTCCAGGTGATGTTCCAGCTGCTTTGAGAACCCCCAGGTATCCCATCCTCAGTGACCTGGCAAGGCCCAGCCTCGGAGGCACCAAATAACTGGGAAGCTGCTAGGAATCATCTTGTGGTGAATCCCCTGTGCGGAGAAGTGAACTAAGGCACAGAGATCAGGGGCTGAGCTGAGAGAAGAGCTAGGATACCAGGGTCCAGTGAAGAGAGGATGGTGATGCAGGACCCCAAAACATGAGGGATACCCTAAGGCCCTAGGGATCACCCTAGTTCTCATGATTACATTATACAACCAGCTAAACTCAGGGGAGTTAAGAGGTCTGCCCAGACCTGAGGCAAGTCTCAGACTGCTGGCTGAGGTTTCTCCTCAGGGGAGCAGTTTGAGTGGTGTCAGAATGGAGTGTTTCAAGGCAGCCAGGCCTGACTACCCTAACCCTTCAAGGATGCTTAGAGGAAACCAAAGCTCCTTTGCTTGGGGTCTGGGATCCAGAGGGCTGGTGAAAGGCAGGAAGAGACAGGAGCGGGGTCGATGGGATAAATAAGGGATGGTCCAAGGAGTATGAGGGAGGAGTGGGAGGAGCCCTGGGCACAGACAGGACTCAGGCCCAGCATCATGTCTCCTTTAGTTCTTGGGTCTGTGGACTTTGCAAACTGCAAGCATTTTGGGAGGGGGAGGGGCAGAGCCAGGGTCAGCTACAGGTTCAGCCAGGATGAGCTAGTTGTTCCGGAGCTGGTGAGGCCCAAGGGAGAGCAAAGAGTGGTGGGATGTCAAATGGACAGATGACCAGGGAGAGAAGACCCCAAGCCAGGCTGCATCTCCTCAACCAAGGCCATGCAGGACTGGGCAGGGTAGAGGCCAGAAGTGAGGATCCAACACCCCCGCCCCCCCCCCCCCCCACACACACACACACAGTGGGAAATGCTGGGGTCCTTCCGGCAGGCTGTGGATAGAGAAGATAATGTGACTCAAAGATGGGACTAGGAGATGTTTCTGGACTGGGGGTTGGCTGGGGCCGAGCCCAATGAGAAGGGCTGGTAAGGCTGATGCCACCTAAGGCATTGGGGAAAGGTGCCCCCTTTGGTGTGAGAAAACACAAAATAAAACAGAACCCAGAAAACACCCCCTGATCTGAAAGCAAACATGAGTTGGAAGACCAACCTTGGGCACTTCCCTGATAAGACAGGAATATGAGCCTGGGGACAGGGGGAAGGGGGATGTGAGGTGCTGAGGTTACAGGGAAATCCATGGGAGGGGAGTAGTACTGGGGAGACCATTCTGGGAGGGCTGAGGGATGGATGCTACAAGTAAGCTCAGGGTCCAGAAGAGGAAAACCTGGCCATTGGCCAGGGCACTGGGTCTGCGGGCAGGAACCAGCAGAGAAGAGGAGGCAGGGGGAGGGGAAACTTTGGAAGAAGATGGTAAAAGAGAGGATAGATGAGAGGTGGGAAGTGAGCAGACAGCCCAGATAGAGGAAGAGGCACAACCAAGATCACAGATGCCAAAACCTGGGTTTTGGTCCTGGCTCTGCCTCTAGTTTGCTGTGTGAACTTGGGTGAGCCATTCTCTTCTCTGGGCCTGACTCCTCATCTAAAAAAAGTGAGATGAGACACAAAATGGCAAAGAGTGAACAATTCCACTTATGCGAGGTACCCAGAATAGGCAAATTCATAAATAAAGTAGAGTTTACCAGGGGCTGGGGGGAGGGGGAGTGGGGAGTGTTTAGTGGATGGTTTCAGTTTGGGATGATGAAAAGTTCTGGAAATGGACATTGGTCATGATTGCACAACACTGTGAATGTACTTAAAATGGCTACTAAGTTTTATGTTATGTGTATTTTGCCACAATTTTTAAAAGTGAACGGGGCTGGTTCAGATGATCTTTTGGCCCCCTTTCCATTCACTGAGACGAGTGAGGGGGATGTCGCCCCCAGGGTCAGGACATTGAGGGGCTGGCCTAGGGACAATGAGTGTGACTGGACCACTTCACATTTGAATAGAATCTTACGCTTTTCCAAGTAGACTTGCAGGCACAGTATTGTATTTGGTCCTCATCACAAGACATGTGAGGTAGAAGGACATTACCCCCACTTTATAACTGGGGAAACTGAGGCATAGAGTAGCCACATGATCTGAGTCCAAGGAGGTCATTCAAGTTGGTGGCAGTTTGTTGTTGTTTTTCAAGTCACCTGGAAAGACATCCTTACACCTTAGGTTCATCTGT